ATCCAGGGCTCATTAACACCGGGGAGGGTTCATTAATAATTCCTGGATCCAGTCAGGGAGGAGAATTTGGGGATTTGGGATTTTGGGGATTTGGGGAAATGGGGGGTTGGGAATTCGGGAATTTGGTAAATTGGGGATTTGGGGATTCCAAGATTTGGGAATTTGGAGATTCAGGAATTTGGGAATTTGGAGATTTGGAGATTCCAGATCTGGGAATTTGGGAAATTGGAAATTTGAATATTAGGGAATTCGGGGATTTGGGATTTCAGGATTTGGAGATTTGGAGATTCCAGATCTGGGAATTTGGGAAATTGGAAATTTGAATATTAGGGGATTTGGGGATTTAGGATTTCAGGATTTGGAGATTTGGGGACTCCAAGATTTGGGAATTCAGGAAATCGGGAATTAGGGAATTTGGAGATTTGGAATTTGGGGATGTGAGATTTTGGAAATTTGGGGATTGGGAAATTGGGAATTTGGAGATTTTGGTGTTTGGGAATTTGGGGATTTGGAAATTTGGGGATTTGGAAAATTGGGAATTTGGAGATTTGGGGATTTGGCATTCGGAGATTTGGGGATGTGAGAATTTGAGAATTTGGGGATTTGGAGATCTGGGAATTTGGGGATTCGGGAATTCGGAATTCAGAGATTCGGGGAGCGTGATAATTTGGAAATTTAGGGATCGGGGAATGTGGCAATTCTTGGATGTGAAAATTTGGGAAATTCGGAGACAAATCTCCAGGAAGGAACCTGGCAGCGGATCCAATCCAGCCAAGGGAATCGGGGGGTTTGGGGATTTGGTGTTGGGAATTCCGGGCAGGGGCACAGGGAATGTTAAATTTTTTGGGAAGGGCGTGTCTGACCCGTATCGGTGGCGGCTGACGTCGCGGGTGAGGCGCTCCGACAGGTAGGCCCCGATGCGGTCGAGCTTCTCGGGCGCCGACAGCGCGTAGAAGGTGAGCTTCTCCATGTTGGACTTGACCAGCCCGTCCTGGAAAACAACGGGAATGACAACACAGCCGGGAACGGGGAATGACAAAAAACGGGAATGGGGGACAAAAAACGGGAATGACAACACAGCCGGGAACGGGGAATGACAAAAAACGGGAATGGGGAATGACAACACAGCCGGGAATGGGGACAAAAAACGGGAATGGGGAATGACAACACAGCCGGGAATGGGGACAAAAAACGGGAATG